ATCACCAATTTAATGGAATCTTAACTCAAATAGTAAACCCTCAATTTTTCCAAAATCTAACTCACAGACACTTTTCTACGATTTCGTTCTCTCTTCCAACTCATCATTTTAACAAATTATTTACATATTCCTAATCCTCAATACATGCAAAATCTAAGGGAATCATCGATTCTTCAAACATAAATAATTATAAAATTACCCATAATCCTACGAAATTCCTCTTCTACCCAATTCCCTCATGTAACTTTGCATACAAATAATTCCATTTTCTCCCGTACCTCGATAAGCAATAGTTGAAACTAAAGCAGGATCTGGTTGGTCTCCTCCTCTGAGTTCCCCTCGGCCTTCAAAGAGTGTAGAAGGAAAAGAAGTCATAAGTGAAAAAAAAATGTGCTTTTGGGAGTGCCAGAGTGTGCTATTTATAGATATCAGGAGTGGCCAGAATAGCCCGTTTCGGATCCGGAAAGACTCGTTCTGGACTCATTCGTCATGTGTAAAATTCACATCCAGAACGGCCTGTTGTCAAACCAGAACAGTCCATTCTGGGATTGCATTTTAACCCATAACTATGTTTGGAATGACCTGTTCTTAAACTAGAACGGCCTATTCCTAACTAGGGTTACAAGCCTATTTGGTGATTTGGAACGCCCCGTTCCAGTAGGGAACAGTCTGCTCCCAACTAGGGTTTATAAGCCTTTTTAGTAGTTTGGAACGACCCGTTCTAGTTCAGGAACGACCCGTTCTAGGCTACTAAATTACCCTTATTGGACTTTAAAAATCGAGGTGTTACAAGAATCATCCAGGTCACTCAAGAACACCAATTTAAGAGCACCCCTCAACAACACTTAAATTCATAACCTTCACCAATTCAATCATACAAGTGACAAATCCAGGCAATAATAGTAAGCATTCAACATAGTAAATCAAATCACAAAGCTTTCCTTACCTCTAATTGCTCCAAAGAGAAGAGAAGAGGAAAAAGAAGAAACTCTCTACATGGTTCTAACCTGAGATCCTCAACTCCACAAGCTTTGAATCTCCTCCTAGTTAAGTGATTCAACTACAAGAAAGGGAGAAGAGAATGGTTTTAGTTTAGAAAGGTGGAGAAGATCACTCAAGCTCTAGAGAACTTCTCACTAGCTTCTCTCTAAAATTTTTGAAAACATGAACTCATGAACTTTGCATATTAAGAAAATCTTATATACCTTTCCTAGGCTAAACCAACTTAACTATACCTAAGATTATCTTAGAGGCAACTTAGCTTTTTAAAGTCCCTTTACCCCAAAGCTCAAAAACAATCAAACAACAATATAACAAAATTTAATCATATATCATATATAATTAAATTACAACATCTAAAACACATAGTGTTACAGAATCAATATGGAAAATGAGTTATATCTCCTTATTACTCATACAACAATAACATTTTGGCTCTATTTAAGCGTATCTATGATTGATGAAATTTTTACTTCTTTAATTTTATTAATGTTATAGAAGTTGATAAATAAAATTGATTGTCAAGATTTAAGTTTCCTACTAGTATATATAATTATTTTCATAAATTAAGATTTATTTGAAACTACTCTAAAAATTAAGAATTAAATGCTCTTTTTATTTTAAATTATACAATTTTAGTCCCTCAATTTTTAAAATCCATAATTTTAGCCTCCTTGTTGAATGTTTGTAAGTTAATAGTTAAAATTGTAATATTAGACATTATTTGACATTTGACAAATGACATGATAATTAATATTTAATAAAATTTTGGTTAAATTATGTAATAGCTCATACACAACGAAATGAGAAGGATCCAAAAATGTCTAGAGGTGTGAGACTATGCAGTTGATGATTACTTAAAATAATTAATTTTTACTACCTATATTAATAAGATGCATTTATTTTTTAGTAGTTTATCACTTAAGAATTGAACAACTATACATGTTTAACTTGGAGTGATTTAGGAATGGGTGATATTCTAAGAAGTCTTCCTAGAAAGTGTACGTGTGAAGATAAAATACACTATAAAGTGTTATGTTGATTTGTGGGTATAGTTATTGATTTTAAAGACAATCAAACATCTCAAAAAGGGATTACCCAAAGATGTTACAAATTACACTTTTAGTTCTCATTTTTATCATATTTTTTAATCTCTTTTTACTACCTTTATAAGATAAAAATGAGAATGAAAAGTGAATTTTAGTTTGACTATTATTAAATATTAATAGTTATGCTATGTGTTTAATGTTAAATCATGACCATCAATACAATTTCAAAGATTAACACACGAACATTCAACAAGGAAATCAAAATTGAATTTTATAAAATTAGAGAATTAAAATTGCATAATTTTAAATAGAAACACCAAAATTATAGGTTTGATATTATAGAGGAAGCAAAAGTAAAATTTATTCTTTTTTTTTTTTAAATCTTATGAATTATGGAAAGAATAATTTTATAACACAATAAAATTTTAAATGCTCACTTAAATGCTCAAGGTCTTAAGATTACTTAAAACAATTATGAGGAGTCATGAATGGTCGGAGATAATATACACAAAATTTTTTATGTTAAAACTTATTATCGTCATTGTAATTCTTATAAATAAAAAATATTAAGACTAAAATTTGCTTAATAATCACGTTAAAAACTCTCCCTCAGCGTGTTTCAGTATTTTGTTATTCATAATATTAATTTTTCATTAATATAAAAGATTACGAAGACTAATAAAATTTAAAGAAGATGTAGTACTATATATTCTAACTTCCTAACATTAGGGCGAGTATTCGCATAATATCATGCGAGTTAACGAACAAACAAACATGAATCGCAGTCAAAATACGAACAATTAACAAACATGAATTGTAGTTTCTAATGTATGCTTGCTAACCCTACATAATTGTTACTATATTATATATTATCAGTGGTGTTGAGTTAATTCGTATCTTTATATTTTATTTATAAATTTAAAATAAAATAAGTTATTAATAATTTGAATTATTTGATTAATTATAAGTAACTCATTTATTTGACTGATAAGAATAAAAATAATTGTAAGTAGAAATATATATATATATATATATATATATATATATATATATATATATATAAAAGTATAGATTAATGGACCATAAATACGGTTCACGTTTAGATGCCGTGTCCAATAATTGGTGGCTTTACGAATGAAAAATTCTAGAAACACCGAAATAACATTTCGAAAAATGATCCAAATAATTAAAAAAAATTATTTAAATTATAAAATATTAAATTAAATAATTATTTTATAATAAATTTCTTAAAAAATATAAGTATTTTAAAATTTCAGACACTGTTTCGGATAATATAACAATCATCTTTCCGAATATGCAAGTGACATTGATTACGACGTGGGTCCCACACGCTGTCGTTTTCAAACGATAAAAAAAAACGTTATGGAGGAATCTGTGAGTCGCATCACATCCAAAAGAAAGACAATATGAACGCACCTTCCTTCGTAGCCACGACAAAGGAACGTAATCAGTTTTTTCAATAAACTAAAGTATTACTCGATTACGCCAAATTCCATGTTTCTCTTCTTTTAACATTTGCAGCAACATTTTTAATGCGATAGTATTTTGAATAATTAAGACTATAATGTAATCAGCAATAATGTATAATATTGATCGGGGCTAGTGCTAACGAGTTGTTCAACGTTCTCTTTAAGGAGCAATAATGTACAATATTGATGGGGTAACGAGTTGTTCAACGATCAGATCGTGGTATTTGTAAATTTCTGATATTTTCCAAGACAAATTGTTATCACTTTCTTAAAATAAAAATAAAAAAGAGTAAATATTTTGTGGGACAAAAAAAAGTGACAGTGTCATAATATTTTAAACAAGAGGAGTGTTATATCCTCCGAAAAGGATCCGAAACAACCTCCAAAAATTTAAAATATTAATATTTTGTAATAATTTTACTATTAAATAATTATTTAATTTAGTATTTTATAATTTAAATTAATTTTTTAAAGATTCGAAATGTATTTCAGAACATGTTTTCGGAGTTTATAGAATTTTTCTTTAAACAATTAATAGTAGTTAGTAAAGGAATAGAAAAAATGAGATATCTGTGTGTAATCTTTAGAGTGAACGAATAATGTATTTTATTTTTTTCTTTTAATTGTGTTCTATGTGATATGAGTATTTAAGTTATTTCAATTTGAGAAGTTGAGACATTTTATTATTTCACCAATCAAATTATATATATATATATAACATATTAATATTTAACGATTTTTACAAAGTAACTAAATGATAAAATTTATACAAATCTTTTCATTTTTTCATTCGATCTAATCCAATTGTTTCTAAAACTATTTACTCGATTGTAGATATTTTTGAAACACCTCTATAAAAGGGATAAATAAACTATTTTAAAAGAATTTATTATCAACATTCTTCAAATATGAATCTACTTGATTCAAAAGCTTACATCAATACATTTATTAGTTACAACTTACAACTATTACAATAGTTGTAAATAATTATCTAAAGAAAATATAAAAAAAAACTAAATTTTTTAATATTTAAAAAAGAATTAATTATCTATATATTATTATTATAAAAAATTTTATATTGACAATTAATCATATCTTTTAAATTATTTTATTTTATTATTATTTCATTAAATAAGTAATTAACATGATACTATTAAAAAATATGATTAGTTGTTAATATAAAAAAATTTTACACGAGATTAATTCTTTAACCTCATATAAATAAAGAATTAATCTCTATACACTGCAGTATAAAAAATTTTACGCTGACAACCAATCAGATTTGTTAATAGTACTTTTTATTTTAATTTAATTAAATGAACAAATGACATGACACTATTAATAAATCTAATTAATTGTCAGTATAAAAAAATTTTACACTAACAATATATAAATAATTAACTCATAAATAAAAAAATAAGTAAGGCACCATTATTTTGGGAGTTATAAAAGGCAGTTTAGTGATAGGCAGTGAAGATGCAGACTTTCCCTTTGTTTGTACATCATTTCTCCCGGAAAGAGAAAGAGTGATGAGTGCCACAAGTGCAACGTGGTTGGTGGCAGTGGTGGGTGTGGTGGTGGTGGTGGTGTGGAGGGTGGTGGAGTGGGTGTGGGTGAGGCCAAAGAGGGTGGAAAAGGTGTTGAGAACGCAAGGCTTCGATGGCAACCCCTATAGGGTTTTGATTGGGGACACAAGGGAAATGTACAGGGTGCTCCTGCAAGCTGCAAAATCTCAAAAACCCACTAATTTTCTCTCCGATCACAACGACGTAGCACCGCATCTCACAACCTTTAACCATCACATCGTCAACAAATTCGGTATGTATTCTCTTCCCACCTTCATGCTTTCAAAAACATAACAAATAATTCAATTTACATATAAATTCTTTTTTTACTTAAATATGTTTTTAGTCTCTGTAAAATAAATTTATTTTTTATCTCTTAAATTTAAAATTGATATTTTTAATTCTTGTAATATCAAAAAATTTTATTTTAATTTTTATATTCAAATTTTATTAAAAAATTTATTAAATATTATTTCATAAAATTTATCTATTGATATTTATGTGAGTGAAAATATTACATTAAATTCAATTAATATTGTATAATCGTCTTAATTTATTATTTTCATATATGTTATTAGTGATTTAAGGAATTAAAATAAAATTTTTAAAAATTACAAGAACTAAAAATAATAATTTTAAATTCAAGGGACCAAAAATAAATTTATCTTAAATTTGAGAGATTAAAAACAATATTTAAATAATCATTTTTTCTCTCTTTTCCTGTTACCTTCGAGAACTTGAATGCAGTAGACTTACAACAACTTTCATTATTTAACTAATTAAGTTATACTTTCTTGAAAAGGATTTAATATACATGAGTATTACAATTTTCATTTTATTTTCTGTGATTTTTATTATAAATTTTTAAAAAAATTGAAAAAAAAAATCGTATCACCGTTTATTGATACATGATATACATGTTTAGACATTTTGTATAACATGTTGTTTTAGAATGCGAGTCATATCATTAAATAATGAGGGATATGGTTTAAAAATTGAATTTATATTAATTAATTACATGATTTGCAGGGAAAAAATCATTTTCATGGGAAGGTCCTACACCAAAAGTGATCATCACAGAGCCTGAGCATATCAAAGAAATCTTCAACAAGATGCAAGACTTTGGGAAGCCCAAATTGAGCCCCATTTTCAAGTTGTTAGGTACTGGACTTGCAAATTTAGAAGGCGACACATGGCGGATGCACCGAAAGATTATCAATCCTGCTTTCCATTTAGAAAAACTCAAGGTGGGTATATACTTAATAATATATTTTGTTTAGGTGCGATGTAATAACACATTAATATGGGAAAATATCTACTTATTTTTAAAAATATATAGATTAAGTTTGTAAATATTTTTTAAAAAAATTAAAAACCAAATAAAACTTCAATTTGAAAACATATGATAATCATAAAATATTTTTATGATCATCAATCAATTTAAATTAATGGAATAAAATATTAAATAACTTTTAATTTAAAAAAAAATTAGTAAACTTGATTTATCCATTAAAAACTTTTAATTTAAAGATTAGATTATTAAAATTTAATATAAAATAAGAGTTATTGAAAATGATGTAAGTCTACCAAGTAGATCCCTTCTATATGTGTTTAGAAATTATTATGAGAGTAACAGAGCTTGAATCTAAAATCTTATTTATACCGACTATTTCAAATTTTTATCATTAAATAAGAAGTGAAACTCTTCTTTTGAGTAAATAATAATTTGGTCTCTAAGTAGTGAGCATTGTCATATTGATTCTTGAAACTAAGAAATAATAACTCTTTATCATGAGTCCCAAAACCTAATTACTTTTTGGTCTCTGAATATATTAATATTATCACTTTTATCACATTTTCTTAAATTTTTTACTAATGCAATTGTAAATGAACAAAAATTAGATACAGTGTCATACGTACAGCTGATTCTATTATTGGATTATATTATAAATATAGTACCATAGGTATTATATAGGTACTTAGGTACATTTATATTTTAATTTTAATTAGAAAACAACACTATAGTAGTGTACTTAAATTTTGTTCATTGTGAATTTGCATTTTGAGAGACTTATTTGGCATAGTTTAAGTGATAGAGACTAATATAACAATGCTTCTAATCATTTATTCGGTATATTGTTATTTCTAATGATTTTGGCTAAAAATAAAGAATATATTTGAGAAATGTATATAAGAGAGAATGATATATACTCACATATTGTTCATGTTTTTGTTAGGCAATTTCCTGGCATGTTTTTCTCCATATATGAAACCAATTATATTTTCATCACCCTGCAGGTTATGTTACCAATATTTTCAAGATGTTGCGATGATATGGTTTCCAAATGGGAAGAGATGTTATCTTCAGATGACAAATGTGAGATTGATGTATGGCCTTACCTTCAAAGTTTGACCTGTGATATTATTTCTAGAACAGCATTTGGAAGCAGTTATGAAGAAGGAAAAAGAATATTTGAACTTCTGAAAGAGCAAGGTGGACTTATTATGAAATCACGCAGCGTTTACATTCCAGGATGGTGGTAAGACTAATGGCATCAAAATTAAGCATTCTATTTCTTTCTTTTGGTGTGTAGTACCTTTGTTAACTCTGAGATTAAACAGATTTCTCACAAAATAAAAATGGCTATGCAACTATAAACCTTTGTGTACATGCATGTAACATGATTTGAAAAAGTAATCATATATATGATCTATTTGTAGGTTGCTACCAACAACTACACATAGGAGAATTAAACAAATTGATACTGAAATACGAGCATCACTTAAAGGTATCATCAACAAACGAGAGGAAGCAATGAAGGCCGGTGAAGTCTTGAACAATGACTTATTGGGCATGCTTTTGGAATCAAATCGTATGGAATCACAAGAACATGGAAACAATAAGAACCTTGCAATGACTAACCAAGAAGTAATCGAAGAATGCAATGCATTCTACATAGCAGGACAAGAAACCACATCAGTTTTGCTGGTTTGGACAATGATATTGCTGAGTAGGCATCCTGATTGGCAAGCACGTGCTAGGGATGAAGTATTGGAAGTTTTTGGTAACCAAAAACCAGACTATAATGGGCTAAGTCACCTCAAAATTGTAAGTATCACATAGTTTTACTTTAGTGATTGATATGATTCTAAATTGTGATTGCAATATAGTTCTCAATATAGCATAAAATTGCCAAAAAAAAAAAAATATGGTTCGTGTGGCTGCAATTGCAGTCGCCATGCGATTACAATAAAACTAAAATTCTTTATGTTGTGATGCAATTGTGCAGATCACAAAAGTTTATATTAATATGCCAAATGCTTTAAATAGAAAAACTCAATAAATTTGTAACTAAATTTAGTGATGAATTTTTTTCTCATGAATTTTGGAGACACAAAAATTTAGTGATATTTCCTTTAAAATTACATATAAATTGTTTTTTCACTTCTTTTTTGGTGTTTTGGTGTTTACTCTTAATGAATATATCTCTCTTTGTTTTAGGTAACCATGATTTTATACGAGGTTTTAAGGTTGTACCCACCTGTAGTTTATTTCAGTCGAGCCATCTCAAGGGATGTGAAACTTGGAAACCTTTCTCTACCAGCAGGAGTGCAAGTTTCCATACCAATCTTGTTGATCCACCATGATCGTGATATCTGGGGTGATGATGCTACTGAGTTCAAACCAGAAAGATTTTCTGAAGGAGTTGCAAAGGCAACAAAGGGCCAAGTCACTTTTTTCCCATTTGGATGGGGTCCTAGAGTGTGCATAGGCCAAAATTTTGCTCTATTAGAAGCAAAATTGGTTTTGTCATTACTTCTACAACGGTTCTCATTTGAGCTTTCTCCGGCCTATACACATGCTCCAGCCACTGTGCTCACTCTTCATCCAAAACATGGGGCTCATATCATCTTACGCAAGTTGTAGTTTCATACTTTTTTAGACTTGGCAAACTCATCCCCATTTAGTTTTATGTTATAATATCTTGTATTTAATTATAGAGGGATACCTCTTCTAAATATATTGAATGCTACTACTTGTAATTCCTAACATGCAAGATCTTATATTGTTTTAATTTCTATGGGTATGTTTGTTTAAACTTTTTTTTTTATATAAAAATGTTTTTTTTAATAAAAATAAGTATTTTATTTATTGTTTTATGTGTTTGTCTAAATTTTTTTAAAATAAACAATTTTCTATTTTTTTAAGAAGCAACTCATATCTATTTTTTAAAGAATTATTTTCTTTTATAAAAAAAAACATTTGTTTAAAAAGACTTCTTTTTAAATTTAAACTAACAAGCTCTATATTTAATCAATTAAAGAAACTCATTTTTCTAAAATTAATTGATTTAATTTAGATAAATTTGAAAACCAATTACTAAAGGATTATTGTAATATTGATCAATGTTGATGAATACAAATGACATATTATACTATATGATCGATATGAACACTCAAATATAAAAGATAGAAAAAGAAAAGGAATACAAGATTTAATATCTGTTAAGAATAATAAATGTTATTACAACTTTTGATTACCACATGAACAAATCAAGAAAGTCCTCTAATATCTCTTAGTCACCCATCCTTCCTCAGATTTAGCCAAAGACAACTTAAAAAGGGTGTAATCTTAAAAACATGTCATCCCTTAGTGAAGTCTCATTGACCATGAAATGGTCAATAATGAACCTTAAATCCAAAGTAGCATGAGAACATTTAGCTTTCATATAAGCTTCCTAATCTTCAGCATTGACTCCATCAAGGCCAACTGCCAGTCAATTTGTATACCCCTCTTTCAGGCCATGAATAAATGCCAAATCATCCTCAGAAATTTGGATATTGTTGTTTCCTTTGAATGTTACCACTCAAGTGATGACATAGATTAATAATCTCTCATCTACTTTGAAGTCACTTACTCCAAATATTTCTCTGACTATTTACCTTTGAGGGTTGCAGAGAGCATCCCTACTCTTGAAGAACTTTTCAGAATATTAAACACAGTCCTACTTACTGATACTCACAAAGTATAATATCTATTCATGTCGTTTCCAAACGAATAAAAACATATTCATTTGAGTTAATCATTAATTTAATATTAAAACAATTCTGACCTTCTGAATATTATTTATCTCACACACACACACACAGAGTTTGGAAAAGATTATAAATTATCGGCCATATTTTAGACCAATATCATAATGATAAAAGAAAACATGTTTATAATCTATTTTTCTCACTTACAACTAATAAATTGTAATGAATTTGATTAATGTGTAAAGAAATTTGGATTTATTTTTCATAAATTATAATGTGTATGCAATAGATTGAGGAACAGAAATAATTACCAAATGAAAAATTATAGATTCAAAATACTGGTATGCATAATAAGTAAGAGGTATTTTTTGAATTTGAGATGTTTTATCAAGATTTAAAATTTAACTTGAGATTAAACTGAGATTCGCTAATCGTAATTGACATAATTTACTGGCAGCAAAACGGGCCACTGCACCGCCCCAACCTGCTGCCGACCAGTCAAAATGCAGGTAAGTCTGTCACATTCTACTATTAAAGTGACTTTAAAAATTTAACTTATCTTATTTACCCATAATTTGATGGGTCAATCTTCTTAATAATTTCTAAAAGATAATTTTTACTTTATATATGTAATATATTTTTAGAAATTAAATAACTTAACTTAATTTTTTAATAATTTTTATTTTAGATACAATAAATAAAATAAAAAATTATAAAAATAATAAATAGGTCTATTTACACTTAATAAATGTGTTTATATATAATTATATATACTATAATATTAAACATAAGTTCAAAAGGATAAAAAATTAATACTACTATTTTATTTAAATGTTATAATATAAAAAATAGGTTGGCAAGTAAGTAAAGGAGAGTCAAAGTGGGTTAGTAGTTATTAGGAGAAACAATGAACTAAACCAACTTAAAAATATTTTGAAATTATATTTGATGATTAACTTATTGAACTTAATTTATGAATCAATTTGAGTTAAAGATTAAATTTCATAAATAAATTAGTCAAACTTGAGTTATATATACTTTGACTCATTAAATTTATAAATTGGTTCAACAAATAAATATATAATTAACTATTTAATTTTATCTTATTAAAATTTGAAAGAATATTCAAAACTTTATTATTATTATTGTTATTGTTGTTGTTGTTGAGATTTTCTATTATTTTATACAAGGTGGTGTAGTTTTCACTTATATTAGTTGTTAATTATTTTGAGGCATACCTTGAAAACTTGAAAAACTAATAAAATAAGTTTTGTTTTGTCCTTTAAAAAATAATTATTTTATTTAAAATCTATTATTAAATTAAAATTTTAAAATATATAAAATTAAAAAAAAATTAATTTGGTTTGTGTGATTCAAACTAACAAACTTGAACTGATTTCAAGTTTAAAATAAAAATTCATGTCAAACTCAAGTCAAGTAATAAGCTGAATCAAATATTATTAAGACAAGTTTAGTTTAAATCTCATCAAGGTGGATTGACTTCTCAAATTTAATCCATTTTATCATCCATCATACAGTTTGAAAAGTAAGAAAATAATATATATATATATATATATATATATA